CGTGTGTGTGTGTGTGTGTGTGTGTGTGTGTGTGTGTGTGTGTGAGAGGGAAACATCTCAGATCAGATGTTTGGGTTGTAAAGATGCTGCTGATGAGACTCTGTAGAAAGCAGCTGGTCTGAGTGCAGTGATCAGAGTGCAGGAGATCATGTGGGACAGCAGTTTGGAGAGGAAATGGATTCTGTTGTTCTTCAGCTGCTCACACTCACACCTGCTTCTCTCCTGCAGGGACCCAGGAGGGAGGAGGCGAGGAGGGAGGAGACGAGGAGGGAGGAGCTGCAGGTCGGGGACATCTTGGTCTGGTTCTGGGTCTGGTGTCAGTTTTTGGGATCGCTGCTGTTATTGCTGCTGTCTTGATCCGCAAAATGAAGAAAACTCCTCCTCCTCCTTCTGAAGGAGCTACTGTTCAGCCTCTGGTGTGAATCAGAGCAGCAGCAGGAACATCCAGACCTCTGTGTGATCTTAGTCTCATTCACAGGAAGAAACGTGTTCCTCCCCAGGAGCTGCCACCTTGTTGTGGTGGGGGGGCTTAAAGTCTCAGATTCTGGGAGCTGGTTGGATCCATCAGATCAAACTGGTCCACCAGGAAGAGTCAGACCAAGAGCAGTTCAGACATCTTTAAACCCCCTGAGACCCAGCAGCGCAGAATCAGGACATTCAAGAACCAGAAGCAGAGCAGAACCAGAACCAGAACCAGGATAGCAGCTCTGGATATTGTTCAGGGACACCATGGTTCTGGTTCTGGTTCAGGGACGTCCTGGTTCTGGTTCTGGTTCTTGGGTAAATCTGGACTCTGGTCCGTCAAAGAACCAACTGCTGGGTTTCAGGAGGTTTGCACATGTTCTGCTGCAGAAAGGAGCAAAAAACAAGTCCTTTGGACTGCAAAGTTCAACAGAGTTTTAGGTAGTTCTGTCAGGATTGGAACTCGAGGCAGGACTCAGATGCAGAGATCTTGGCAAAAAGGTTTTAATGGAACCAAAAATGCATCGCATGGAGTGGAAACAAAGTGCAAAACAAGGTAGACAAATCTATCAACAAAGTATGAAATCAAAATCATTTGAAAGGCAGAAACAAGACTGTGGACAAAGTATCAAAATATAATCACTCAAAAAGGCGAGGAAGACAAAAGGCTATGAAACAAACTACCAAAATAACACTCGCTTGAGTTAAACAAAAGAACAAGGAGGATCAAAAACAAAATCACTCTTACAAGGTTATACAAGGGGTGAGGCAAAGCTAGGTTCAAGGACAAGGTAAGGCTCAGTAGAGTTAAAGAGACGAAACAAGGAGAGACTCAGACTAAACACCAGAGGGAAGGGAACCCCAGGGGAACACAATAGGTGATCAGGGAAGACAAACAGACATGTGACACACAGGGGAGACCTGAAACAAGGGGATGAACCTTTCAAAATAAAACAGGAAATGACAAAACAACCATGGAGACAGGACAAAAAAACAGAAATTCCCCCAGAAGTTTTTGTTTATTAAACTACTTAAAACTCCTTTTTAAACAGAGTTCTTCAGTAAGAGTTCTTTAAACAGTGTTCTGACTGGTCTGATCTTTAAAGGGTTAAAATGGTTCTCGGGCCTTCAAGTGGAGCAAACAGAACCTGATCAGTGGGTCAGAACTCCCTGATGAAGGCAGATGTTCAAACATCTGTCAGAGATGCTTCAGCTCCTCCTGTGAGCAGCTTCCTCTGATGAGACCATGACCAGAGCTGGTTCCTGCTGCTCATTTAGCCTTTAAAGCTTTGTATTCACACCATTTCATGACTTTACAGCTTTGATTTGCTTTGCTTTATATCCATTATTGTTCCATTATCCATAATATTGCTCTCTATCCATGTATCTGATGTTCTGTGTGTAAAGCTGAATCTGAGACAGATTTATTTCAGGACTAAAGTTTGTGAAATCACATATTTTATTTTCTTGTTCTGGTTTAGTTTTATCTGTATTTCTGTTATAGCTCAGTGGTAGAGCGTTTGACTTAGGATCCAGAAGTTGCCGGTTCAAATCTTTAAAATGATCTATAAATAACTTCAGACCCCAAAGTCTCAAGACAATAGTTGAGATATATATATATGTATGTATGTATGTATATATATATATATATATATATGTATATATGTATATATGGGGTCTGGTTCAGGGAAACAATTGTTGTTGTGATGAAATGAAATTGAGTTGAGATGTGTAAATAACTAAATATATATATATTATATATATATATGTATTTATATATATGTATATAATATATATATATACCCCTCCCTGGGCTGCCACCTTAACGTGGTGGAGGGGTTTGAGTGTCCCGGTGATCCTAGGAACTATGTTGTCCGGGGCTTTAAGCCCCTGGTAGGGTCACCCAAGGCAA